TCTTCTCATGATGAGTTTGAATGTTTAAACCAATAGCTGAAATTGCCACCAACTTTGTAAAAGAAAGATTCGTGAAAATTTCGACTCATGGTTTAGATAACCGAATTCAACATGAGTAGACGAATCAGATGATGCAAAAAAGCAAGAGGGACAAAACTTGAAGTATGGTTTTTTTGGACGACGGAATTATACCGACCTTCATTTTTTCCAGACGTTCGCTTTTTTCTTACATTTTGTCCGGGGAACTCTAACGTACAGGTTTCCTGGAGCCTCATATAGAGATTTTCACTGGTGGGAAATTCGAGGGGATTTAATCTGGGCAGAACCTTGAACCACGCCTGATCTACACCCTTCACTAACGCTTCGCATGCTCATATACATGGCAGCCTTTGGCTCAGGGCGTTCTGTCTCAAACGCAGCACGATCGCGTTAAAAAAAACTGGACATCACCGGTACATACTTGAGGGTTGTTTTGAGATGGGGAAAGCATTCAATTTACATGTGTTATTGTTTTAAGACATTTAAGACATTTAAGGCAAGACACTACGTTTTATGATGAAACTGCATCATTTTGCGTTGATTGCTTTCGTTACGTCATACTAACTTTTTTAAGGATTTAATCCGAATCTTCTGGATGGATGGATTCGTGGGATCAGAGGTCACGCTAAGCGGTGCCTGTTGTGTAAACCCTGACCCCTACCATCCGATCGCGCAATCTCATGTCAACGGCAGGATTTGGTGGCGAAAGCTTAACGTGCCGCAATGCTCGGCACGGTCCGTCCAGCCCTCTGACGCCATCTGACCTTTATCGCGGTCGCTGCCACCGGCCGCAGGCCACATCGAGCGCCTAAAGCGACTTGAGCCCACCCCGCCAAGGGGAGGGGGGTCAGAAGGCAGCCGCTGTAACCAGCTGAGCCATCGGGACGGACAAAACTTACCTAATGCAATATAATCACGCCCTCAGCAAACCGGCATTTGTTTAAGTAGGAGAGAATATTTGTTGTGTGAATAAACTGTGTACATGCACATAATGAAGGCACATTTCTGGTGATTCCTCTTTAGTCGTTAAGGAAGATACGCTAATGCATGGTGCATTAGCACGGGCAATTAAATTGGCAATTTCAATCAAGAATGAGCAAGAAGCAAAGCTTAAGCTCGCGGGTTTAAGCACACCTTTTCAGGGAAGTCATTTTGACAAGCGGGACGTATACTCAAACCTGAGCAGCGGGACAGGGCAGCTTTCAGCATTGAAAATGTGTCAGCTCTAGTGCCGAGGTCAGTGTTGCGGCCATTTAAGATTGAGGCCATGTCAGCTTGTCTTGAAAACCGCATTGTAACGCATCATATGTACCGCAGCACTCATCGCCGCAGATAAAGTTCGAACGCTCCAGACACTCAGTGTCAGGGTCATTGGAAGCCATTGGATGACGTCAGATCTTCCGAAACGGTTCCCTGGAGGCAAATGGTGGCACGCCCTGACCTGTGTCAGATTTAAGCTGCACCCTCCTGCAAGGCCTGTCTGTCTGGTAACTCACTGGTGAGAGCACAGGACCTTCCCGATGGCTCACGTGTGAGAGCACGTGAATTCTCCAGTAGCTCACTTGTGAGAGCACGGGACCCGTCCGGCAACTTACTAGTGAGAGCGCAGGACCCCTCCAGTAGCTTATTTGTGAGAATACAGGACCTCTCCAGTAGCTCACTTGTGAGGGCACATGGCCACTCCGGCAGCTCACTTGCGAGAGCGCAGGACCCCTTCGGTAGCTCACTTGTGAGGGCATATGACCCCTCCGGTAGCTCACTTGCGAGAGCACAGGACCCCTTCAGTAGCTCACTTGTGAGAGCTTCGGACCCCTCCGGCCGCCGTCTCGCAGACGTGTGGTTTGGCGTCCATAAAACCGCGCTAGGCCCTTGCGCATGTCGACAGCTTGTGTTGAACTTTTTGGAGAGGCAGTGAGGTCAGCGACGTTTCGCTCCATCCCGCGCGTCATTTACGAAACGCCAGACGTTGACGTCGTTGGCGATGACACCGGTGTGCCGACACCTCCTACGCTTCCAGTTGTCCCCTTCCAGCTGCCCTTTACCTCCTCATTTCGGCACAAGGTGCTTTACTGTGGTCGCTGTCGTTGCAGCTGCATTAAGACACGTCAGATCTGATGTGCCCGGGTTCCAATGGTCCCAGGACCCACACTTACCGCACTTCCTGTGAGTGGTCTCAAGATCTTAGTAACTGGCGGGTAGACTCGGTCCACTGGGCTGAGATTTTTACGTTTCTGCTATGGCCTTGCTGTATACTTGCTGTATATTATGGACTTGCTGTATATCATCGAATATGAGAGGTGCTGGCATCTTGCATGTCTCATCTGATCTTCCCCACTGCCGGTACCAACTGCTCCCGTTGGTGCATCATCACCCTCCACATTTGTCATTACGGGTGGAGCCGGCCATAACCCATGTCCCCAGACGGCTCCGTGCCACTATTGGCAGTTTTAAGATATTTTAGTCGACCTGTAAAACCTTTAGTGACGAGCACTGCCGCGAGTTTTGGCGCTATCGCAGTTTTACAGCACCTTCGCTGAGGCTGGGCGGCACTTATTCCGTATAATGGCCCTGTGAAAAATCGTGGCCAGATTTCTTAGCACCTGTGGTAGCATTCAGCACCCGCTATCCACAGTGGCGAATGAGCCCCTGCCATGACTGGTCAGCCCGTTGCCACCCTCGATAGAATTCGTCCCGCTATCTGGCCTGATGGGGTTACTTTCGTCTTACATTTTATGCTGCGGTCAGTGCCCGATGCGCTCTCAGAGAGCCCCCTTTCTCAGCTGCCCCAAGCAGACCAAACGCGCTTGGGGAATTATGTGCGTCACTTGCAAAATGAACGCGGTGTTATCCCTGCACGCAGAAGGCCGCTGAATTGAAAATGCTGGACCGTGGAACGACAGCCGTCCAGGATATGAGTCGGCAGAGCGTTGCACGCCTCACTGTTAGGCTGGTACATTGTTTGCCCCTGGCGTCCCAGAAGATAAGAGAGATTTTGTGGCTTGTAAAAGACTGTCAACTGGCCGTAAACGTCGGCGGACGGGCACGGTGCGACCGTGTCGTAACCATGCATTGTAGGTTAGTCTCGTTCGTAGGAACCAGTCCCCAAAGCGAAATATTTGTACTGACTATGCACTTGCGGGATAACAGCCAAACGACGTTGTGAAGCAAAGATTGATTTGCATTGTGAAAAAGTATACGTTTTCATACAGTGCTCATGATCATTTGTGATTATTCTATATGAATAACACACTTCGGTGATCTCGATGTTTCTAGTGTTCATGGCCACTCGTGGCCATGTGTGCTATATATATATATATATATATATATATATATATATATATATATATATATATATATATATGTATAGATATGCATTTTCTCCCCACAAGGTCGACTAAGCGGTGCCTCCTGGTATGATAAACATCACTTATAATACAAAATCCTGGACTGTCTATGAAACAGGAGCTCAAGACCTTTCTTGCGCATCAGGTTGGGCTTATAGTCTTCATAAGCTTTTGTTAGCAAACATGATATCAAAAACTGTGTTTAAAAACGTTCGACCACAAAAATGACGTCACAGTGTCAATCTTGTAGTTGGCACAGACCAATTAGGTTAAGAAATTAGGCATAATACTCACCTAAATCCCAATGATCGGCAGAGTACATCAGCACTGGCACCATTCCATCTGTCGTCGCAGACATAACCCCAGGCGCCGCCGAGGGGTCTGAGTTCAACCCGGCCGTGATCACAGGAAGCACCCCCAGCCAGCCGGTACTCATCTGAAAGGTCATCAGCACCAGCAAACCTTAATTTTTCACTCGGGATTCGCAGTGAATGTCGAGTAATTCAGTTGGAAAAAGTGAGTTTGAAGTGACCAAAGCTTGCGAAATAAATATTGAATCATTTTGAATCCTTGCGATATTGAGTCTTGCTCCCGCGTAACTGAGCATGAAGTTGTCCCGAACCCGTTGCCAACTGATGCGGTCCCTTATTGTTGATATGAACTCTGCAGCTTATTATGGCAAATGCTGACCGCGTCCAGTGCCCACTTCTGCCAAGAGACGTCGCTTGCTTGTAGCGGTAGGCTCAAAACTGGAAAAGCAGTTTGTGCATAGGGGATATAGGGGAAAGAATATGCTTTGCTCAAGGCAGGGGAGGAACCGCATGAATGCATGTTGCTCTACGCTGCGCACAGAGCAGGAAAAGCTGCGAAAAGTAGCCTAAGACTCGCTGCATTACAAGGCGAATCATGTTAAGCAAATTATTTGAGGCGTTTCGACCACCAGATAACGAACAAACTGGAAAATACGTTACATGCAAAACGCTCAGAAGTACTATGCAGTCAATGGAAGCAGAATGAGGGGAAAATGGTACTTCTGACCAGTACAACACAATTTTTATAGGAATACTTCAGTAAAAGAAACCCCATACAATCTGTTGCATACGTGTTATCATAGTCTACAGGAAATACACGTTGAATACAATGGCACTGCATGGTTTTCCAAACAGCTGTGGAAGTTTGAATGTTAAGTGGGTGTTTTCTGGATTGGAACATAACACACGCACGCACACACACACACACACACACACACACACACACACACACACACACACACACACACACACACACACACACACACACACACACACACACACACACACATGCACACGAGCATGCACGCACGCACGCACTCACGCATGCACGTACGTACGCACGCACGAGTTAAATGAGAGCGATCTTGATTAAGGAAGCGAGAAGCCTCCTCATGGATGGCTGAATGAATGAAAAGATAATTGTAGGCGCCAATCGACCTGTGGAGTTAAATTAACGTTACAATAATTTACGTTATACTTATTTACGTTATACAATCGAGGTGCTTAATCGAACGACAGCATTAAACCACGTCGTTCGCATACTCAAGCTCTGTAAGAAAAACGCAGTTGCCCTCTCTGGGTCATTTCACTGCGAACTTTTCCACTTACAGCCTTTAATCGCAACAGCAGGACAGACGCGTTCCGTGCACGTGCCCGAGCTGCAGGTGATGTTGGAGCGGTGCAGAGAGCAGTCCTGTTCGAAGGCGCATGCTTCACCGATGTCCACAGCTGTAATCAGCCATACGTGAGTTGCGTGACTTTATCTGGGCTCATGGAACAAGGCACGGAAGAACAAAGGAATTTTAAAGCTTCGGAACGTCGAAGGGCTTAGGGGTCCAAGGTACTGAAAACCTGGCTTTGCTGGTGCAGGCACCAGTTTTTTCAGGTGCACTTACGAGTTTTTTCAAGCTTTGCGACACATGAACGGCCACCTTTAGAACAAACCGTATCAACAAACTGTCTCCCACTTCTTTCGTACTGCAGTAGGTCTGAAATGGTACTATTGAATCAGTAGTTTCCATTTCAAGGCTGTCCACTTCCTTGTTCAGAGTTTTCTCTTCCACGCTAAGCCCCTTCGATGTTCCGAAGCAGTTAGCGAAGCCTCTTGGTAGGCTCGGACTACCACAGCCTTAAACGTGAGATGGTCAGCCTCCTCACGAAATACCTTCGATTTCTGGGAAATCATTTAGCGACAGGCTCCTTCATAAACATCAGGATAACGTTGCTTAAATGTCGCGAGTCGACTGAAGCTTATCAGTTTCGTTGTGCCTCGTGTAGAGGCACAACTCGTGTTGTGCCTCTACACCGAGGGTGGGCAGGTCGGAACTGACAGTGTTCCGTATATATGCATATATGCAGGGATCTATGGATCCTTTACCCATTCCTTATACATGTGTATATATGTATATGTGTATAAATATATATATATATATATATATATATATATATATATATATACACATATATATATATATATACGTATGTATGGAATATACGATGTATGTAAATATATATGTATATATCATATTATATACATGCATATATATATATATATATATATATATATATATATATATATATATGTGTATATATGCGTATGTATGGAATATACGATGTATGTAAATATATATGTATATATCATATTATATACATGCATATATATATATATATATATATATATATATACATATAGGGATGGGTAAACGACCTCACCCGTGAAAACCTCTTATCGATAATAAATCCACTTCATTTAAGTGCGGAGGCCGGGCCTGACCTTGGCGACACTCCACGTTGTCTCGGTTCCAGGACCCTGGCCTGCAGCTGCAAAAGCCATGGGTGCACACAGAGAGCGTCGTTTCAATCTGCAACAGGGTGAAGGCCATGGTAAGGAGTGGAGTAATACGCCTCCAACAAATTCTTACTACATAGTTGCTTGCTGGCGATGTCACCGGTACTACCTCCTGCGCCGGTTCCGCGGTAAGATTATGGTGCCGGTTTCCAGTCGATCCACGTGCCACGTGGCAAGTGGCACGTGCAGCGTGACGTCAGCCGGATGTTTATAGAATTCACATGATCAGAGGTGCATATTAAGCGGGGGTGCCACTGGCCCAGGCCGGGTGGCCGCTTGGGTTCCATTACGGGGAGTGCTTAACGGCGTGACCCGCAGGCGCGTGCAGAGATTTGGACTCTCGGTCCTCCGAATTCTAGAAACAGTGAGCTAATCACATGCAGTTATAGTATGGTTGGTCAAATATTAACATTCCATTAAAAGCGGTTTGCCTTTTCGATACAAATTGTCTACCCCATTTTCACATGCAATCTGCGTTCACGAGTTTTCTAATATTTTTGTGGAACCCATACAAATTATGGTGAATTCCCTCGGTGCTATCCGTCCAGAACGAGTCCATTGGAGACTAATTGAGTCCAGAAAGTCCAATTATAAGCTTCCTATAATCAGCAGTTAATTTCATGAGTCCCGTAACGCTTGGTTCGTTCCGCATTTGGACTTAAAAATGCAAAACAAAATTGCATCTGATGGTGACTTCTGGCTTCTGTTTCGGGACTTTGGTACGGCGCATTCATTCGGCACGCAGTCGGCTCGGGACCAAATTTCTAGATATGTTTTTATCAGAGCTATGCAGCGCCACTGCCATCGGCGTGTAGCACTCGATGCAGAAATTCTGAAGAAACCATCTGTCGGCACAAACGTCATGTCAGTGTCAGCGGACGCTGCCACCTGGTTCGGTTCGGAAAGACAGGCGGATACCCGCCAGATTGGAGAACAAGGCTGGATGAGGTAGTGCATGATGTTTCAGTTAATCTGGGCCGCCTGCTGGTCCACTAAGAACAGCATTATTTTTTTCGTTTTTTTATATATGATGAGACAGGTGATCCATTGGTTAGTCCAGTGTTGCAGGGGCCGGATTTTGGCACAACCCATATTCGCGTAGTCCATGGCCGCTTTGTGGTACCGGCCTTGTCCACCAGATTCGATGAGGATCTGTTCACATCTTTTGCGTCGACCTTCAGCCAGTTGTTTAGATGACGGGATTTCCCTAGTTTTTGTGTGTTTAGATGATGACGTGCTTAACTTGTTAAAGGCTGCTTCTTCTCCGATCTCTTTTTCCGTCTTCGAATACTCTCTAGGATTTGCATGCCAATGACATGTAACTGCCACAGCCTTCGCGGCCGTCTTCCTTTCGATGACAATGCAAGAAGTGCACCAGAGTCTTGGTCCTCGCCTCGTGCTTGTCCACAGATAATTTAGCAGAAGGTCGACTCCACAGTCATAGGACCATTTTCACTTGCCCCCATAGCCCCGCCAGTATGTCCTACACTTGTCAAGGTCAATGAAAATACCGATTGCGGCGTCGTGGCCGGTGTGACTGGATGAGTCGGCTAGGCCCACGTTGTGTAAGTGAGTGTGGCCGCTTGTGATGCGACTCTAAATGAACAGGAGGTGCGGCTAATTTCAATAAGTATTACGTTCAGGCTCTTAGTTGTCCCTGACATTTTCCAGTGAATAGCTTCTAGCTCCCCTCAACCCATCATTGGGGCCGCGTGCCCTGGCCGACATGTTAGGTTAGCGTGCCGACTTGTGCTTGTCACGGGGTCCAGTAGATACGAATCAGGCAAACCATGAGATGGCTATGCCGCTATGCTAGCAAGCATACGAAGCATGCTAGGTGATATCAAAGTGTCCACTCTGCCTTATTTCCTTACGGCCTACGGCAGGGGTTTCCATTAAAAGGAATGTTGCACATTTTGATATGCTGAAGCAAGCATGAGGTATAATGTAATAAGCTCAGTTGCAACTATTAGTATACTTTTAAGTGGCAAAGCCTGCTCTCGGGAACACAACTTCTCTGTGTAGTAAATATGCTCCTGAATGCATCATTGTTTGATTATGTCGTCATATCTCACACAACATCGATTGAGAGTCAATTGAGGGCAAGTGTATCTGAAAATCGTGCTCACGAACGCCAGATATTAGTGATTCGACTACTATCTCTTCCCTGCGCTTCATCACCGCATGGCTAATGGAATGGTAAGATTTGAATGGTTATTTTGGTGTCATGGGTGCCCGGGTGACCTTGGAGTAGTCCTCCCGAAAAAGTCTGCGCAGGAGTGTAGCTCAGAAACTAGATCAGCTTTGGTCTTATGAAGGGCAAGGCTGTGAACTGCACCAAATGCTCTTCAAGATGGCTATTTTAGTTCAAAATTTCATACAAATTTAGAACACACCCTTTTACGTCGCCATGGTGGGCCGGTTTCTCGCTTCTCGTCACGACATCCGCAATAGCAGACATGAACGCAGCGGGCTTATTCCGGACTTCTCGGCCAGCTGAAAAGAAAACTGTTCGGACGTCGGAGACTGGGTCATTCGGGTGACCCAGACTGGGTCGCGCTGGCGACCCAGACGGGGTCACTCTGGCGACCCAGACTGGATCACTCGGGTGACCCAGACTGGATCACTCTGGCTACCCAGACTGGATCACTCTGGCGACCCAAACTGGATCACTTTGGCGACCCAGACTGGATCACTCTGGTGACCCAGACTGGGTCACTCTGGCGACCCAGACTGGGTCATCGGCGGCGTTCTCGCATTGGGTGACCGAATCGAAGACTCCGTTCGAATGCAGATGTCTGCCACGATCTTGATGCCATGTGTGCCATGTGATTTAGCGCCGATCCTAAGACAGGACCTGCTCTTCAATCTCCTGGGCAGCAACTGCACGGGAAGAGGCGGCCGACGTTGAGTTTGGATTAGCTTCTCTTGCCTGCTACACATGCGCGCTGACAGACTGCGTCGCCAGCTTACCAGCGTGAGAGCTGTCATCATCACGAACCTAGATATGGTTCAGGCATAAAAACTCCTTTTTGTAACTGGTTCTGATGCATCAGTATATATCACCTGTATGTCTCTGAGCATATTAGGCTCACCTAATAGTTTTCACTCGACGTGCAGGGCTCATCTGACAGCTCTCACCCCATGAACAGGACTAACCTGACAGTTCTTACTCGACATGCAGGACTCACCTGATAGCCCTCACTCGACGTGCAGGACTCACCTAACAACTCTCTGTCGACGTAGAGGGCTCACCTGACAGCTCTCACTCGACGTGCAGGACTCACCTAACAGCTCTCTGTCGACGTAGAGGGCTCACCTGACAACTCTCTGTCGACGTAGAGGGCTCACCTGACAGCTCTCACTCGACGTGCAGGACTCACCTAACAGCTCTCTGTCGACGTAGAGGGCTCACCTGGCAGCTCTCTGTCGACGTAGAGGGCTCACCTGACAGCTCTCACTCGTCGTGCAGGCTTCCCCCAGACGAGGCATCTGTGCGCACTGCGCACGTGAGTATTGTCTGAGGCCTTCAGCGCACGTGCACGTGCCGTCGCTGCCGCAGACCGAGTCGGGTAGTACATCAGAGCAGTCGGTGTCGTTTATGCAAGGGTCGCCGAGCGCTCTCCCTGCCAGAAGAGGTCAACGTTCAGGCCGCGTCGGTGGCGACGGCGTCGCTCTCGAGCCCCCACCGCAGCGGCAGCACAGCATCACTGCCATGCCACCCAACCAGGTGCGAACGCTATGCCCGTGACGGGCGTGCCATCTGAGGTGCGTCCGAACATGGCAGAACGTGACAGGGCGGGCGAGAGCGAAATGACCGGCAGCCTGTCACTATCTGGAGGCCTACACTCGAAACGGTGAAGATGGCTTCAGCCCAACATCCTATCTCTCGTGCCTTATATGGATGGAAGGCCAAATACCGATCGTTATCTACGGCTTTTCCGCACGTCCTGAAATAGCCTGATGGACTGTGTTTATAGTAATGCATTGCGACGGGCCCCAGACCAGAAACAGATTATATATATATATATATATATATATATATATATATATATATATATACAGTGAGTACAATTGCACCCTCTAGTAAATGGGAAGATTTCGTTGGGAATATTCGCATCAGACACCAAACAAAGCTATCGTGTCTTCTGCTTCTGATGACTGATCAAGCAATGCATTTAGTCAGAGGCGAAACTGAGATTATGTTAGGTAATGCCAGGCGGGGTTAGGCAGCTTTTTTCAAGCTGTCGTCCATTAGCATGAACTCTGGCGGTATTATCACCAGATTATCGTATAATTTACTTACGGCGGTGGGTGTACCTTTACCGGAAGATGAGCTATCAATGCTTCGGTTTTTAACATAGGCACCACAATAATGAATAGCATGAATTGCCTTCAGAACTACAAAATGTTGCATGAGCACTCAGGTAGTTTTACAGGGGCCTTTCTGGTTATAAGCTATGAAACATTTAAGCATCGAAATGCAAAATTTCAGGTGAGTACCCATAATGTGACCTGATATGAGCCTGTGTTTGAAATGGTAGCTATGTATTACGAGCGCGACCTGTCGCGCCGCGTGATCAATCACGTCATTACACCGTGTTCGTTGCGATGCTTTTTAAATGAGTTAGTGTCAATTAATAGCGTGCATGTGTTCACGCAAGCGTCAATGGCTGCATAGCGTTACATCTGCGACTAAATATCACAAACCACTGCGCAGAGGACTTCTGATAAGCCGATAGATTCGTGACCTGGCCTACGACAAGCACTCTGTTGCTCTTAACGTTCGCAAAATGTATCATCTGACATGCATTTACTTACCTAGTTTTGATATACCCAGCCTGGTCTGTTATTCGGCTGCTTAGATCACGCATACATTTCTAAAAATTCCGGATAACTTTTAGATCGGAATCGAACATCGAAACTATCAGCTCGATGCGATGAGTGTGGCCGACTTGATGTAAGCTTAAGCGGCCGCAGGTCAATGAAATGTCCGCGAACAACGTGCCCAGGAAAGAAGCCACAATCCATGGCTGATAAGCGGCCCCTGTCGGTCGTCATTGTGGTGCCAACCACTGCCCGATCGGCCGAGGAAGCCATGGTGTCGGGGGGGGGGGGGGATAAGCGGCCCCCGTCAGCCGTCATTGTGGTGCCAACCACTGTCCGATCGGCCGAGGAAGCCATGGTGTCGGGGGGGGGGGGGGGGATAAGCGGCCCCCGTCGGCCGTCATTGTGGTGCCAACCACTGTCCGATCGGCCGAGGAAGCCATGGTGTCGAGGGGGGGGGGAGGGGCGCGGAGGGTGACCGTTCGTTGCGTATGGACGCAGAAGTGAAGCAACCCAGGCATGCAGGTCTAAGCGCGCGAACGTTTCTTATTACCCTGTTAATGACACGGTCCGCTTTCAATATTATTTAAAGAAGCACACCATAAAATCATTGTCAGTCTATAGAATAGTCTATAGAGAAGTCATACATAAATATATATATATATATATATATATATATATATATATATATATATATATAATAGTCTACTTGTTCCCGCTAAAGTCGTCCCGAAGGAAGCCGTGTGCACGGTGCATGGCACTTAAGAGGGGGATCGCATTAGCTGTGGATCATGAAAACTAACTTAAAACCAACACAGTTCAGCATTTAACGAATTTGGGCGCCTGTTCGTGCCTATATAATTACATGGGGTGCGGTTGACAGCAGTCTGGATGTCCTGCAAGCGGTCCGACAGAGCCTCCGGTATGGAGGAGATTGCTGCTACAGACTTCTCGACGTCGTCCAGCCGGTGGGAGACTAAGCTCTGGGAGTTCTGCGCAGATTTGAGCAGAAGTATTGAGAGCGTGTTCTCCGCCTCCTGCATAGAGTCTAGCCGAGATGACACAGAGTCGAGGTGGGATGAAATTGAGCTCTGGGTCTCTTGTACTGAGCTCAGCCATGCGGAGATAGAGTCTGGTACCTCTTGCATTGAGTCCAACTTTGCGGATACAAGACCTTGGACCTCCTGCATTAAGTCCAACCTTGCGGATACAAGACCCTGGACCTCTTGCATTGAGTCCAACCTTGCGGAGACAAGACCCTGGACCTCTTGCATTGAGTCCAACTTCGCGGAGACAGATCCCTGATCCTCTTGCACTGAGTCCAGCTTTGCGGAGACAGACCTCTGGACCTCTTGCAGGGAGTCAAACCTTGCAGAGACAGAGCTCTGTGCCTCTTGCAGAGAGTCCAGCCGGGAGACAACGGATGCTAGTGTCTGCTTGATCTGGTCCAGGCCTTGAGCCAAGCTCTGGTGGGACGGATCGGCAGCGACCCGCGCGGAGGACTCGTACAGTGTGGCCGGCCGCGTGAGCACCTGGTCCACAGCGGCGTCACCCGCGGCTGGGGCGGGCGACGCATCGCCCCTGGCCTGGCCGAGCGACAGGACCAACAGCAGCGGCAGCAGCATGGTGCGGCGAGGTCCGGTGACGCGGCACGACTGGGACCGGATACGGTGCGACGCTCATGCAAGGGGCAGCCCGCAGTGTTTATCATACGGCCTAACACGGCCGAGGACCTCCAGAGTCCAGACCTTCACCCTGTATATACAGACTCCCGCGGTGCCCGCGCCACGGCTGCCGCTTCGGAAGGCCCAGGACGAATGGAAATGGTATGGGCGGAAGTGGGTGGTTTTTGCATGCCACGCCCTATGGGGAGATTTTGTCAGGTGCGCACTAACTCCGTTGGTGAGTTTCGGGGATGCGCCATTGCCGGTTTCTAGCTCGTCCAAACTGTCACATCCTGACGGGGCCTGCCGGTAATGGTCACGGATCTGCCTGGATACGTCACTAGGGTCATCGCGACAATCACGGGCAGAGGATGCTGAACAGGGCTAGTGGGACCAAACTTCCAAAATGGGTATCTTACGGAGCAGTGATAAAATTGCGTTCATTTTGACCAATGTTGGAGTACATGCTGGCACGGTGGCTACAATCTCCAGCTTAATTCCCATTCTTCTTCGCCTTTGTCTTCATCGGCAGTCAGCTTGTTTGCATTTGAATGTGCATTTCTCATCAAACGCAAAAATTTTCGTCGGTCTGGTGCAGGCTTCAGTCAATCCCACCTCGGCGCCCCGTACCATTATCCTTACTGAGATAAACGGCGAGTGCTTCGTTTTCGGACAACGATGAACTTCTTGAAAGAAGGTCCTTGCGCACTTTGCACACACGATTTTGCCATGTGCGACTGTGAATAGATTCTGGACAAGTTGTACGAGGAAAGAGTCTAAGTCACCCGTTTAGGAAATGGCGTCCTTGACGAACAGGTGGTTCGCGATGTTACCGCAAAATATATGCAAGACAACACCAGCGTTTCTAAAACAGCTGTAGGCCGCTATTTTCAAGGAACTGGATTTGCCTGAGCGTCTATTTATACTGTCTTTAAACACCAGGAGACTTGAGGGCATGTTCGGTTCAAAGAAGGCCGAAGGCTGGTGAAAATGACTTCAGAACTCGGGCGACAGCTGGTAAAGACCACTAAAAGTAGAGTTTTTATATCGCAGTGCCTGCTAGCAATTGTGCTCGCATACAGCGGTCACAAGCCTGAAAACACAAGAGAAAGAGGAGCTAAGGTGCAGAAAGCGAGCAAAATGATCAGAAGCTTCTCGAGGTCAAAAAGGTGTAGGATGCGTCGGATTGGTTCTCGTCATCCGTGATTTGTGTCGAGGATCGACGTCCGGCAGAAAGGTCAAAGATACTGTGATGAACGACAGGTCCTACTTTACCTATCTGACACTCAGCCGCCGGCAAATTTAGGTTTTTAGACACCCGCTGAAATGTATGTCGCCCTGATGTAAGATTCAAGCGAGGAAGCAAAGCAGGGGAGAGATGGAAGAGTTGAATTAGTTTTTATTCGGAGAGGGGCTTTTTCTGCAGACAGCTACAGCCCTCAGCTTTATATGTAGCAGTAAATTTTTGCAGAACACGTCTTGTTTTTCGGGTGGGGAATGACTTGGGAGCGGCCTCCTTTCAAATGAGACAACTTGTCCTACCCTGGGATAAATTGTATCACGTGGTGGGGGAAGTTGCGCGCATGTGTTTTGTCCTGGAGCGAGCTGTATCGCAAGCAAGCTGAATATGTTACGACATGTAAGACAAATGCACTCATTTGTGCTTCTCTGTAGTTCGTCGCGATTGCTCAAGTAGCAGAGAAGTGCCCCGTTACAGTGAAAGAGGAACTAAGGTGCCGTGCTCAGGTAGTAGTAAATTGGTTGTAGTTGTTAAGGTAGAAATTATAGGTCTACACAGGTAATTCAATTCTTAACTTGTTTTCTAGATGGCATTAAGTCATGGTAATCATGTCAGTCAATCATTGACAGTAAAACAGTCAACCGCATATCATCGGTACGTTGTATCACTGATCCATCATGCCTCAGGCAAAGCTGATGCAATATGCACTGCTCTAATGTTGTTTTTAGTGTGTAATACAAATGTACTTCCCACCACTCATTATTACATCAAATCGGTTTATTCATGCCGTAAGGCCTAAAGCCCACATTTTCACCGTTCACTTTCATAATTCACACTACGTTCATAGTTCAACGACATGCAAAAAAGTATCTTTGTCGCAGTCATCCCAAGACCCGTGCACCATCCGTTTCATAGATTCAGAAAAAAACTGCCCGACGCTACTTGGAAAAGATGTAATTCACTTAACTCTCCCCTACCCACGCGATTTGCTGGTGAGGCTCGTCATCACCCCGCATGGATGATGGTGATGATGATGATGATGATGGGGTGGACGATCACCCGGCCGGTGACTGTGCCCAGCAGGAGGAATGTGGGGGGGGGGGGGCAGCATACTGTCACAAGAGCATGAAGGAGGTTTTCGCTTGCCTTTTTAAGAACGATGGCTAAGGCGGTGATTAGTACAGCTCGTGACCAAATCTTGCCAGCGCACATTGCGCGAGTGAGGTCCTGCAACTGCTTGAAGACACCAGTTTGCATTTGTACCTCGAGAGCTGAACCCAACGTGCACTTCCCAGCTCCGACCTTCAAAGAGCATGTTGGGTATGATCAAGGAGGCAGGGTATGCGGTAGGTTGGTAGGCGAGATCGCACAAGTTGAAGGCCAGGATATGAAACACCAGCCGTGGACTTACCCGGAAGCGCCGCGCAGGATGATGGAGAAGGTGGCCGTGCAGGCTACCTTCCGCAGGAGAAGGTGGCCGCGCAGGCTACATCCATGCCATCCAGCTGTTATCTGTGTTATCCTCACACCATTGGGCGGCAATACGAGTGGCTCGTTTCTGCTTGTTCAGCCCACCCAGCAGCCGGCAGTCAACGAGCGGCGAATTTGCGAGCTGGCCGGCCCGCGGTGTGGCGCCACCAGCGTGGCGCGAGGTGGCAGCAATAGCGCAGCAATCTACTCTCCGCAGAAAGGGAGGAAGTGCTCGAGTCAGCTAATTTGTCCCAAAAAGGCCAGTTGCTGCAAAGCTGAACATCCTCCCACACCTGTCCATCCGCTGCAGGTGACTGACTGGTACGCCAGGATCATACATATGCCATGTAGCCAACATTCCAAACATGTTAGCCGCGTTTGTCTTTTCACCAGGGAGTTCACTCGTACGATTCCGCGCACCAGATGCATGTCCACCCCCGTTGGCATACGATCAGGGGTGCTGGACTGTCGGAGCTGACGCTATGCAGACTGTGCTGTGCTGTGCTGTGCTGTACAGACAGTGCCGAATGAAGCAGCCACCTGAGCGCTCGTGCGGACGTGAGGCGGTTGCCTCCCTACGATATGTTTGGCAATCTTGCCGAAAATGGGTATTGCAATGTACGATAGCATTGCAAAACAAGGTCTGTGGCTATCTTCCTCCAAAAACGCTCAGTCTAGAAGGATAAAACCGTGCTCCCTATGTCCCATTATTTTCAAACACACGTACGAACGCACGCACGCACGCACGCACGCACGCACGCACGCGCACACACACGCATGCCCGCACGCACACACACACACACACACACACACACACACACACACACACACACACACACACACACACACACACACACACACACACACACACACACACACACACACACACACACACACACACACACACACACACACACACACACACACACACACATTTTGAGGTTTAAGTCGTGTCAGCTCATCTGACGATGCTACTTTAGCTGGGGTGTGTCAGACGAAGTTGCGCGTTCACGTGCATACGCTGAAAGGAAAAGGTCCTAGCGAGAACAATGTTTGGTTTTTCCGACTTTGCAGTTTCTCAGCTCGCGGGTAACATTTTTAGCTGGGGTGGTTTGGGGGGTAAGCAGGTAGACATTGCTTGCCCGTAAAAGTTGCTAAGACTGCGGGAAACTTCTGTTGCCTTTGGTATTTCCCATAAAGGCATATTCTTAGCATTCTACAATGCTGAGTATTATAATAGCAAACCATTATTCGTTGGTCGGATATACAACGGAAAGCTAAGATGGCAGAATTGCCTGTCATGAAACACGGAATTCTGTTAAATTCTGCTAGCGAAAACATATGACCTGACTGGGGTTGCGGGGCGGTCAACATTTGGGGTGGGATTCAGAGCTTTTTGATACATTCGTACAAAAGTTTATCAAAAAAGCTGATTCTGGAAGAGAATTGCTCACTTTGGTAATCAAACTCTCCGCTTGCAACTGATGCATACTGTCTACTAATATGTGGTTGTGGCTGGTGAAAATTATGCTGTCAGGTGCAGGGTAGTACCACCTGTTAGTTGCGAAGCCACTGGTAACGTGGCAGGCTCTGGTGTGACGTAATGTTAGAGCCCTAGCGGCGAGCAGCTGGTGGATGAACTGTTCAAGGAAGCAAAATAAGCCACGTAGATGTAGCAAAGAAATTGTAAGTACCTGAGGAGAATTTGTCTGCACGGTTCGACAATTTCTGTGCCGATTCCCGTGCAACGGATGCGTATTGAAACGTCCAGAGTTCATAAAGTCCAGTGGAAAAGTCCAGAATCGCAGTCTCCAGCGTTCATAAGATCCAGGCAACGTCCAAAACGCCTGGATCGAAGAGAATCATGAAGTCCAGTGTTCATAAAGCCCAGTGGCCATAAAGTCCGGTGTTCAAAAGTTCAGCGTGCGTGAGATCCACGGTTTGGGATGCTGTCCCACTTCCTCGCAACCCTTCCCCTAATAGTTTGGATATTGCCCGATAGAGGGCTACCGGAGCCGATTCCGCTCGCCTCAGCCGACGAGTGACATGCGGTACAGCGCTGCCCAGTTAAACTACTGTGCATGGATATGGACAACGTTTTGTTTCAGCGCACAAACTTTGCCGCGTTAGCACGCCCTTGGCAGCAGGCGCATTAAAGAATTCAAAACTTTGATCCCTGGCTCGTGGCATCGGAAATAGCTGGTTATTCGGCAGCAGCCGCACGGTAATCGTGGAAAGCACATGTTGGGTT